AGAACAAGACATGATCACGGCGGAGCAAGAGTGACAATCTGACTATGTTAAAACAAAGACTCAGACACGTTGGAGGCTTCTGGTTCAGTGTGCTTGGTGTTGCTGCATCTCAACAACAGGCTGGGTAACATATCTGAGAAGTTCCTGTGGCTTACAGTTTTGGTGGCTGAAGGTCCAAACAGCATGGAGCTCATTTCCTGTTGAGGGTCCCAGCTGCACCACAAAGAGAAGCAGAAGGGGACTGGCCACATGCAGAGGGGGCCAGACACACCAAGATTCRTGACAGCCTGCTCTTGTGAGACCTGATCCATACCTGCAGGAGCCAGCTTTCCCCGAAAACCTTGATTCACACAAGAGGGTGAAGCCCTGAGCTCATCAGCTTCCACTGGGTCCCCATGACCTCCACACTGCATACAGGAACCAGCTTAAGGCACGGGAGTGTTGGGGGACAGCACATCCAAGCCATGCAACACACAGAGGGAGTCTACAACCATCCTGCGGGGGACAGAAAAACTTGCATTATGTAAAGAGAGCACCTAGATTAAAAGAAAAACCATCAACTGAAAAATGCACATCAGGCTTGAACCTTGAAACAACAGAGGAGCACCACTGACGGCCAAAAACACGAGAAGGTCTCTACCCTCAGGACAGGACCCAGGAGCCAAAAGTGACCCATATGTCCCCAGAGGAGCTGCCAACATGCTCAGAGCAGGCAGGAGGTGGGCCCTCCCAGGTCCTGCCCAGAGCTCATGCTCTGCACAGTTCTGGGGAGACTCTTCTTGGTCACTGAGGGACAGGTGCAGCATCAGGCCCTGCAGTCCCTCCCTGGAGGAGCCTGTGCAGGGAGCTGTCACACAGTCCCCACCTGGAACAGCTCCATGCAGCAGGCTGTGTCACATACCATGGTCCCTTGTGCTGAGGGTGCTGGGTTCTCCAGGACACAAGCTGGTGTGGCCTGCAGAAGGGTCTGTAATCAGCCACCCAGCCAGATGTCCTTCCCCAGGTGGCTTCCTGCCCTGGACAGAGTCCCTGACCCATGTGTCCCTCCCCTCTGTCCCCAGAGCCCAAGGTGGTATTTGCCAAGGAGCAGCTGGCACGCAGCGAGGTGAAGGCCGATGCGGGGGCCTGCGCTACTCTGAGCTGCGAGGTGGCCCAGGCCCAGACAGAAGTGACATGGTACAAGGATGGGAAGAAGCTGAGCCAGAGCTCCCAGGTGCACGTGGAGGCCTCTGGCTGCAGGCGGCAGCTGGTGGTGCAGCAGG